CGACAACCAATACCCCTTTTATAGTATACCTACCCGGATAAGGTTCTTTACCCACGCATCGGAAATTTAAACAATAAAAGGTAGTACTTATGAGCTCGCTGCCTTTCAAGTTCAAGGTGCGTACGAGAAGGAGCATTGAAAAATGATGCCTTTTGAAAAAACGTGAATGATGTCACAGAGGAAATTTTACTCCAATATTTTCCACATTTGGAAGAAAAGTACGCTGCGGTGGGGAGCAAATATTCGATGCTTAGGACCACAGTGAACATCCACAAGAAGCTAGATATCTCAAAATATGAGCAGCCGATCGCGTTTTTTGTCTTCCACAACACTTTACAATTAAACAAGACTGACTGTCTTTTCAGAAAGCTTAGTTATCGGAAAAACTACCAAGCACACACAAAACAATAAGCGGCTACGTTTCAACCTCCACCACAAAAGAACAACGATTAACGTTCACCACTAAAAAAGTCACGATTCATGCCTTCCTCTGCGATTTAAAACAATGTCCCTTTTTTCACCTTTACGACTTTATCTCATCCGTATCATATTATTGCATTCTCAAAAAAAAACTTAATCTTTGAACACTTTCTTTTCTTACAATTAAATAAACAAAATACAAGCGATTATTAATTTAAACAAAATTAACAAAACTAAATAATTCTCAAACCTAATCACATTGGATTCAAATTCAGATACCATCGTAATTGTGTAATTAACGAGAGGATGACCCATCCTTCTTGTATGTGGTTATACCAAATAAAATCTCCGCATGGCGTAGTTTACACAACAATTATATTGTTGGCTCTAAAATGAAATTCACGGAACTGGATAATATGGTTCGGGAAAGCGTATGCATTGGTAAATAAATACAAACTCTTGGAAAGGGCATCATTTGTCTTGTACTCCGAAGAGATTTCGTTGAAGTCACGAGGAAGTGAAGACGTGTATTTCGTAAAGGAAGCCCACGAACACATTTTCTGTCATTAATATGCGACGACTGCATTAGAAATTATTCATTTCAGACAAAAGTTGCGGCCCCGAGGGAATTAATTCCCTTGTAAAGTCCCAAGTTGTTGTTTTTAGAAACAAGACTCTTCTAAGTTACTAGAGATATCTACCTGGCGGTCAGGAGAGTTTCTTGACATTTTTAATATCCATTCCTTGATTATATTGGTTGAATTCGAGAGTGGTTTTGTTGATTTTGTATCAGAATTAGGTACTTGATGTTTGGTTTTGTTCAAATAATTGTTTTGATTATTTTGTTATGGTAACTGTACGTGTTAAGGACTAGATTTATTCAGTTAGGAATTGTTTGTGTAATATTTCAAAAAGTTTATCTCATTTTTGCTCCGGTCGTTTGCGATAAGAGTCTTTATGGCTGCGAAAGCTATTTAGTTTGAAGATAAGCACGTGTTGTCGTCGAAGTAAGCAGATGTTAATTCTTTCCAAGGCACAGTAATTTGTTAAGGAAGGAGTTTTTAGGAATTTTCTTTACGTCGTGATAAAAGTGAACGTTAAGTCGAGTTAAGCTTTTTGTACTTAGCGAAAAAGTTTAGTGGGAGTGCTGTGGTTATCTAGCGTTGGTCGCCGAAGAGAAGCCTTTTTTAAGGGTTCAAGTTATCAGTTAAAGCGAGTTTTTCCACCATCAAAGGTCGAAGTCAATGCCGTCTAAATCAAGTTTTAAGTGAAGGCAAAGAAGTGAGGTTCCGAAGCATCGTCAGTTTGGTTTTTGTGTTATTTGTTAGTGCGTCTCTTTATAGAAACGCGCAATTTTGACCGGATGATAAGGATTAGAACATTATCTAAATTTAATTGTTGGGTGGTGTTATTTGTGTGTTATTTGGCCCTGAGTGCCATCTTTTTTGAGTTCATTCGATTGATTGGTGTTAAAGAAACTTGTTTCCTCTGTAAATGGTTAGTGTTGTGTTTCATCGAGCCCAAATTACGACCTAGATAAGAGTTTCACGGTAATATTTCATTTTCGTACCCAGAATTGCGTTTGGTGTTAATTGGAAATTTGTAATTCATTTCTTTGGAATTGCGGAGTTGAGCAAGGCTGCTGATCTCTCCAATGCAATAAGAATTTTCCATGTTAAAGGCTTTGTCAGTACCTACTTGAGTTTAACTGAGCTAGCTAGACAGTGAGTGTGAGTGTTCATTTGCCGTAGCACATAGCAATATTGTGTTTGTTGTATTAACTTGACAATTTTTCTCTTTAAATAATGTTTGGGGTTTGTCACTTTGGCATTTTTTAGACACTTTACTTTCAGAAATTGTAGTCCCATGAGGAGAACCCGAAGACTACTTCCAAGCTTAGAGGGGTTGCGTTGGGAACTTGTGTTTTCGCCATATTTAGGGGTTTCGTGTAGTAGACCATCAGGAATGGTGAAGATCCTGGCACCATAGACCTCGATGGTGCAGAATAGATGATAATACGGCGTGAGTCATGAGTTTTCGATGCCCTCTGTAGATCCTTCAGACCGCGTCGCTCTGTATTCCATTTTTGCTCCTTTAAATCAGGTACGGTTCGCTCGAGTAAACCGAAAATATGGGTGAAGGCGATTTCATAGTGAGTGGTGATGCTTTCTTCCAAATTAGGTCTAGTGTTGAATTTTCACGGCGTGCAAGATTTTTTGGGATTGGGTTAGGTAAAATATGTGTAGAGTAGGGGCAGGTTTCTTCAAAATTTTACTGTTGAACTTTTTGGGCGAATAGTTTCCGAGTGCGGCGCTTCCGTGTTCAAGTCGGAAGAGTCAGTTTGTCACGGCATAAGACAAAATTAGTGGGATCTACGTGACCGTCCGGTTTGATTCAGATCCGCTCTTAATCAAGGCATGGGAACTGTCGAGAAGCGGTTTCTATCAAATGAATTTTCTGGAGATGTGGTTAGTGAAAAGTAGTTGGGCGTCTTTCTGAAGCTGAAGATAGTGGGCATTAGGTATTGGACCGTGAAATCGTCAAGTTGAGCGGTTATAAACTAAAAAAAAGTTTCGAAGCGTAAAAACCTAGCTCAGTATTACTATATTCCGGAAATGACTACCCATTATCACTTCAGAAGGTTCAAATTTACTATTTTGCTGTAATAATAATTGCACAGTGCACTTAATACGCACTTTAATGGTTTGTGTACAACAATAATTACTTCGTTCTCCATCAAGACTTTTACTGTCTAAGCGAATTATTATATAACAATGATTTATTTTATATGTTTCTTGCATATAATTTTAATTAATGGCAATAACAATTTCATTAACTGAACTCTAACTATTCTTCAAAAAAAGCCTTTATAAGACAGACCGCGCCATTACTTCACTTCGATCAGTCGTTCGGCTCGAAGCGATCTTTTATGGACGCTAACCGTTCAACCAATGGAAGAGGTTTATTTAACCCTGAACTACTATCGCCTTTTGTCAGTAACTTAACTACTATGGTGGGGTCATTTACGACCCACATATTTTAAAGTAAGTATACATGGTTCTATTGTAACACATATTAAAAAAAGATGAATAGTAGGCATTAATAGCTTGCGTGTAATACGATAACACTTATTTGTTTCGTTATTTGACGAAAAAAAGTTAAAAATTTCAGTTTTTCTACTCATATGGGTTAATGAATACATTAAACGTTCCAATTTTATGAAGTAAGAGTATAAATTCCTCACATTATTGGATAACAGCAGTGAGTAATAATTAATCACTGGGCATGGCTTTAAAAAAACTCACCGCAGCCAGCCAATGAGAAAATTCCATAAAAAACAAAGAACCAATCTGTCAATTTATCTGGTTGTAACTTCCCTTTGTATCGAAATATAGGACTTGCCAAAATCTAAGAATTTGATTTAATAACACAAAAAACAAAAATGTGAATGCAAAATTGTATAATTGAAAATCAATATTAAATTAAATAAAACATCCCATGCTAATTTAGACCGTTTTTAATATAAATTAAGTTGCTGAATTGAACTCAAAGGAAAAGATCACTGTATTACCGACGCATCGAATTTGAAAGTGTCAAGATGGATAGCGAAAATGAAAATAATTTAAGTTGTACGCCGCCAAATATAACAGAAACGGCAAAACAATAATTTATAGCCGGAAAAGTCTATATATCTTAGATCGATCTAAGCTAAATATAAATATGAAAATTTGAATATTTCACTTCCATTTTCTCGACCTAAAAGACTACTTACAAAAGGATCTTCAAAGTGTAAAAATAGGAAGTGAGGTTAAGTATTCGTACAAATTCTGTTACTTCGTAGGTCGCACATGCCTGTTATTTTGTCGTAGTTTTAGTAGTACCCGCATTATTCAATGTTTAGGCGATTAGCTATAATTACATATAGCAATAAACCCACAATTTAAACGATCAAATTTTAAGAAATGAGAAACGAAAGCTTGACAACCTTTTGACATCTCTGATATCATCTCAATTGTCACACTGTTACAGTATGACCAACTTTAAATATTTATAAAAAAACTCAACTGCAATTACTGGTTTGGTAAAAAACGATAAGTTTGAATATTTTCATTAAATTTTGCCAAATATTCGTAGAAAAAGTATAGTATTCTATTCGCATGTAATGGCCATTACTCATTCGAAAGAATTACGGCACTCGCCTTCGGCTCGTGCCGCAAACACTTTCTCATGAGTAATAGCCACCATTACATGCTCATGGAATAATATACCATTAACGCTTCAAGTTAATAACCAACTTGACTTGCTTCACTGAGTTCATAATGGATGCTTTTGGTTCTGTATCTCAAGTGGACGTCATTTACACCGACTTCTCCAAGGCGTTTGACAACGTTTGTCATAGGTTACTCATAAATAAGCTGAAAAACTTTAATACGCTTTAATCTTAGTAAAACATTTGTTCTGTGGTTCAGTTCTTACCTTACTGATCGTCGTCAATGTGTATGTTATAAGAACTTCAAATCGGATTATTACAAAGTGTCCTCGGGGGTGCCACAGGGGTCAAACCTCGGCCCACTCTTGTTTATTGTATTTCGACATCACTGCTCTCAAGTTTTAATGTAGTACTTGTTCTACGAGACCGAAACGCACGCATTCAAAGCAAAAGCTAAAAATAGCCCCCCACCCGCCTCGTTAAAGGTTAACTGTTATTCATTCTTGTTTTGCGTGCGACCGTTTTCATACGTATTATGGGAAAGCGAAGCCGTGCTAAGAAGCTTTTAAGGCTGGAGAAGGAGCTTTTTAGGTTAAAGAAGAAGCTTAAGAGGGATGATTGTTCGCCCTGTAGCAGTAAGTAATTTAATTTTATTAATCACTTATTTTTAGCAACAGCGGTTGTTCTTTTTTCGCTTTAAGATAGTGCTCTTAAGCGATGCTAGAAAGTTTCTAGCGATTATTTATCTTGTAACTTGTTTACATTTTCCGTAATAAGATAGTGCTCTGTTACGAAGCTAGAAAGTTTTCTAGAAATGTGTGTTAGTCACAGTCGTTAACGGTTTCCTTTGTGCTAGGCTCAAGGTCGAGGTCGCTGACCCCTACAGACCTTTCCGTGCGACTTTTGACTACACCTTCCCCCTCACAAGGAGGTGGCGGTTTTTCGTGCCTGGAGGTTAGTCCTGCTTCAGGACAGGCTTGGGATGTTGGCGCCGATTCTGCGTCCATTGTGTTGGATGCAGAGAAAGAAAACTTGGACTGTGCGTCGGCTCCTGTCGTTTTATCTCCATCGGAGCAGGATGACTTGTTGTCGTTGTTGGGGAACGTTTCTACTCCAGCGACTTCGGTTGGACCACCAATACACGACCGGATTGCTAGTAATTTGACTTTCATTCTAAGAAATGGGTTAAAATCCGAAGACATGTCCAAACTTTTACAGAAGTACCAGGTTCCTGAGAATTGTATTGCCGTTAATAGCCCCAAGCTAAATCCCTTGGTGTCCATGTCGATACCTGATAAATTCGTGCAGAGGGACGCAAATTTAGCTAAGCTACAAGCTCGTTTAGGAGTGGCACTTGCAGCTACTTCGGTGTGTCTAAACACACTTCTTGGAGTCAAATCTATTGACAAGAGCATAATTGAATCTTTGAACGATTCATTAAAAATTATGTCTGACATCCATTTTAATCAAAGTCAGGTGCGAAGATCTTTAATAAGATCGAATATAAGTGAGTCTCTACGGTCTACGTTGGATGGAATTGTTTTAGACGATTTCTTATTTGGAGCCGACTTAGATGAAAAAGTTAAAGCTTCCAAATCCCTGGAGAAAGTGTCGAAGGATTTAAGTTTGACCAAACCGAAAGCTGTCGTACATGGCTCAAAAAGCTTTCGCAACCCGCTTGTGTCCAATCGGTGGAATCGAGCACAGGGAGCAGTGAGAACTCCAAACACAGGCGGGCAGAAAAAGTTCACTCCCAATCAGAGCTCCAACAAAAGGAAGCCATGGCTCCAACCTCGAAAACAATAGTAAGTAAAACAGGGGGCAGGTTGGCCCACTTTTTTCCTGTTTGGAGACGTGTAACCGATGACCCCATGGTGTTATCAGTTATTAGAGGTTATGTGATACCTTTTTGTAATAACATTAATTACAATTGTGTTTCTACTGAACCTAATTGGTCTTGTAAAGAAAAACAAGAGATTGCTTTTCACATTTCTAATCTGTTAGATTTAGGGGCTATTGTTAAGTGTGATTTTGTGCATAACCAATTTTTATCTGGTATTTTTCTTGTGCCTAAATCTGATGGGACCTCCAGATTGATTTTAAACTTAAAAAATCTAAATAAGTACATCAATACTTCTCATTTCAAAATGGAGGACTGGAGGACGGTCTCTTGTCTTTTAAGGCGGAATATGTTTATGGCCACATTAGACATTAAGGATGCTTATTATCATATTCCGATACATAAGGATTCAAGAAAATTTTTAAGATTCTTGTTTAAGGGACAATTATATGAATTTACATGTTTACCTTTTGGTTTGTGCACTGCCCCTCTTATCTTTACTAAAATTTTAAAGCCTATTTTTGGGCGTCTCAGGAGTAAAGGGCTACTCTCTGTTACTTACTTAGATGATTTCTTGTTATTGGGGGATTCATATGAAAATTGTTCTTTAAACGTATCATCAACTCGGTCTTTGTTATGTGAGCTTGGGTTTATTGTAAATGATGTCAAAAGCCAATTGGTACCGTCCAAGGTTTGCACTTTCTTGGGTTTTTGTTTTGATTCTGTTAATATGACTATCGGATTGCCGGAAAAGAAAATTGCCAGCTTATTAGCTTTATTGAATAGTTTTGATTACGGTTACGAGTACTCTCTCCGTAATTTTGCAAGGCTTGTAGGGAAGTTAGTTTCGAGTTGTCCGGCAGTACGTTTTGGTTGGGTACACTTCAAGTCATTTGAAAGGTTTAAGTTCATTCAGTTAATGGTAAACAATAAGAGTTTTGATGACATGTTTACATTTCCAGTTTCCCTAGCTAGAGACTTAAATTGGTGGAAAACAAACTTGATGATCTCAACTCCAATTAGGACTTATCGATATGCCCTGGAAATTTTTTCTGATGCCTCAAAGACAGGCTGGGGTGTTTGTTGTCAAGGGAAGACGGCCAGAGGTGTTTGGACCGTTTTTGAACAAACTCTCCATATAAACAGCTTAGAACTTTTAGCGGCGTTTTATGGACTGATTTGTTTTGCATTTGACTATTCAAATTGTGAAATTTTATTGAGAATAGACAATAAGACTGCTATTGCTTACATTAATAAGTTTGGGGGAACCAAGTATTTTACTCTTAATACTTTGGCGCGCGATATTTGGGACTGGTGTGAGAACCGGAAAATTTTTTTGTTTGCATCTTACATTCCTTCTGCAGATAATGTTATAGCCGATCGTGAATCGAGGAAGTTAGATGTAGAAACAGAATTTGAATTGTCAGATCAGGTTTTCCAAGAAATAATTTCCGTTTTTGGTGTACCAGAAATTGATCTTTTTGCCTCCAGATTTAATACAAAGTGTAATAGATTTGTTTCCTGGAGAAAAGATCCTCTATCGGTAGCAGTAGATGCTTTTACCTTAAACTGGTCAAATTTATATTTTTACGCGTTTCCTCCTTTTTCGATGATTTTGAAAGTGCTCCAAAAGATAAGCCTTGATGGGGCCGTAGGTATTGTAGTGGTCCCCTTTTGGCCTACTCAGGTTTGGTGGCCTCTCTTTAAGGAACTATGCATATCGAAGCCTATTATTTTTCAAAGTAGTGATATTGACGATGAGGATAGTAATTTAATTTTACCTTACAGAAATCGCGTTCATCCCCTAGCAAAATCACTTTCCCTGGTTTCGTGCAAGTTATCAGGGAAGCCTATCGTTTGAGAGGAATTCCTCCTGAATCTTTTGAACTTTTCACCAACTCAATATCATCAGCTACTTTAAAGCAGTACTCTTCGGCTCTTTCTAGATGGTGGTATTTTTGTGGGACTCATGGTTGTGATTTTTACAATAGTTCTCACTCAGATATAATTAAGTTTCTTACCGTTGAATTTAATAAAGGTGTATCTTTTAGCTACCTAAATGTCATAAGATCGGCAATTAGTTTTGTTAGGGGCAATGATTTGGTAAACAATCTAGAAGTTAAGAGATTGTTTAAAGGAATTTTTAGAAGTAGACCGCCTAGGAGAAAGTATGACTCCATCTGGGATCCGAATGTGATTTTACAGCATTTACAGACTCTTTTGCCTTCAGAGGACTTACCTTTGAAGGATCTTTCTTTAAAACTAGTTACTTTATTGGCTTTAACTACTGGCCATAGGATTCAGACTCTTTCTAAAATTAAACTTTCTAACATTGTATTTTTGGATAAGCAGATTGAAATTCGGATCCCTGATGAGATCAAAACTTCTGGTTTAAATAGAGTACAGCCTAATTTGATTTTGCCATTTTTCTCTGACAAAAAGTTGTGCGCAGCGTATACGCTCAAAGTTTATATTTCTAGGACTAGGAGTTTGCGGAATTCAGCTGATTCTTTATTCATTTCATTTAATAAACCGCATTGTGCGATTCACAGTACGCAAACCCTTAGTCGCTGGATCAAGATTGTTTTATCAGATAGTGGTGTCGATGTCTCACTGTTTAAATCGCATAGTATAAGACACGCTAGTACGTCGGCTGCTTTTAGATCTGGAGTAAATATAGATTCTATTAGGAAGTCGGCTGGTTGGAGCAAAAGCTCAGAAACTTTTGCTAATTTTTATAACTTGCCTTTGTGTGAATCCAACGTTTTTGCAAGTTCAATTATAAATTTATGATTTCGATTTATGGTAGTTATATCTTTCATATTGTTTTTTAGGTGTATTTCTGATAAATATTAAATTTGTAGCAAACTAAACATTGCTTTGAACATCTACATTAAAACTTGAGAGCAGTGATGTCGAAATACAATTACTAGATTAAACGAACTTACCTGGTGAAGTTCTAATCTTAATTGTATGAGACATCACTGCTCTCAAGTTCAATCCCACCCACCCCCTTTTGTTTTTACCCACTTAATTTAGTTTGCAGCTTTCAACAATGAATAACAGTTAACCTTTAACGAGGCGGGTGGGGGGCTATTTTTAGCTTTTGCTTTGAATGCGTGCGTTTCGGTCTCGTAGAACAAGTACTACATTAAAACTTGAGAGCAGTGATGTCTCATACAATTAAGATTAGAACTTCACCAGGTAAGTTCGTTTAATCTAGTAATTAT